ATATTCAATTTTTTTCCTAGAAACTCAAACTCAATCTTTTAAGTTTATCTCAAGTCCATATATTAAATCTTAATCTTTATATTCAGCTTATTTATGAATAAATTTAAACTCTAAAAAAATTTCCTGGCCTATTAGATTATAAATAAATCATTATTCATATATCATAAGTCTCTCAGAACATTAAAAACTACAATAGAGTCTTGAAATCAATTATTTGAGTGATAAAACCAACACTTATAACACTAGAATATAAAGTACTTTTCACCATAGTTAAAAGCCACTTTTCACGATAGAAGATGGTATATAGTAAAAAGTTTTGTAGTAGTAAATGGAGATTTTTTGCCACAGGTCATAATAGAACCATGGTGAAAAATACTGGAGCTTTTTACAATAGGTCATAACAAATTGTGGCGAAAAATACTACTTATGGCCACAAGTCAATCTAGGACCTGTGGCTTTAGATAGAATTTACAACCACAGTTCCAGCATAAATGGCAAAAGAAGCATTTATGGCGACAGTTGTAACCATAACTATCACTACAAATGTACCTTTTAGCCACAGTTGTGGCTATAAATGTGGCATAAATGCTATATATGTATATATTTTCAAAGAATCACCTATAACTTTATACATCCCTCACTTACAAAACATGCATTGATACATTAATAAGTAGCCCTAGAGACCAATACAAGTATATTTAGTACAAACATATTAATGAAAAATTTACATTTTCAATACAAATATATGAAAAACTTCTACTCTAATCTTATTAATTTTAAGAAAAAATAGACTAAATATTGCATATATGTCTCAGCTCTTGCTTAAAATATGACTCTTAACTTTTGAAATGCTGCAAATTCAATAACAATACATGTATGAATAATAATTCAAGTATAGGGTGAGCTTCAAAATATAAATTAGTATTAACAAATTATTACTTGATCAAATAAGTGGATAATACCTTGAATGATGATTTCATGCATGAAAACCATTACAAAATAGCCACACTCTATACTTTTTGATTGCCGAGAACACTATAAAGAAAATAAAAATAATTAAATTTATTAAACCAATATTATAATCTTTATTCTAATTAAGTAATAAAGTTGAAATACTTATTTTTATTTGCACCCACTTGATTTTAGTATTCTTTGGACACCATTCCAATTAATTTCCAATATACAGTTAAAGATATATTTACCAAATATACGTACTTAAAAAATATTAAATATATGCTATTAATAATGCAAAATAGAATTGTTCAAAAACTTAAAATTCAATTAAAAACTTTGTATAATCATTTACTTTCTATAATAGACTCTTAATCTAATCTTTATAGCTCTTTTACCAATTTAATAATCAGTTGAAAATACTTAATAAATTTAAAATCTATCTAGTTCTAAAATTTTATCCTTATGAGATCCCAAAAATATTATAAAAAGAAAATAAAATGAAGACTTAGATCACTTACCTAATTTTTTAAAGCCTTGAATTAGATGAATTAAATTTCTGGGATTCATTAGTACCCAAAAGAAGCTCCCACACTATCTCTTTCTCTTGCACCCTATCTACCTCATGCCCTTACACTGCTGCTAACGAAACAAAAGACAACGTTATCTCTCTAAGGAGTCATGCCACACGCATGCACCAGGAATTTATGTATTTTGTTTAGATAGAATTTTCTTTATATAATTAACTAATTATAATATGATAAATTGAAATGCTTATTTTAAATGTCTTTGAAAGATATTGCCATCCCTTGTTGTCATTTAATGACTTGTGACATGCTCCCTTCAATTTCTCCCAATGTAATTTCTTTTTCATATTTTGTAATTCTTTGACCTCATAATCCATTAATTAATTCTCTAAATCTCAATTAACTCTTCTAAAACATTAATTGCAATTAATGATTACTATTTAATAATTGAAAACATAAAATGTTGAAAGATATCCAATGCTTCTAAGACCCAAAAATAGTACTTCTGTCTCAAATTATAAAATACTTTTGAATAAAATTTCACCTATCAATAAAACTCATTAAATACAATTTACAGCCTTACTTTTTCAAAGCAAAAATATAAACTTTAAAAAATACCTTTCATTTAATACTCCATTGATAAAAGAATATTGAAGAAAAAGAATATATAGTAAGGGTAATATTGAAAAAGTATCATTAACGAAATCTTATTTTTATCAAAGTGTCTAATATTTTGGGATGCTGAATTTTTTCTAAAAGTGTTTTATCTTTTGGGAGTACATTTTTCTGAAAAAATCAAAGTGAGGTGCACTATACTGTTGGGTTAATTATTTTCTTCCTAAAAACTTGTCATTATATATTCTGAAAATTAACTACGTATGTACATATTTTACAATAAAATGGTACATTTTTCCTGGAAAACCAATTTATTATCATCAAATTACTTAAAGGGCATTTTTGTATTTTCACTCTAATATTGAACCAAAGGATTAGGAATATACAAAATATAAATATTTTAATGCGACTCTGGAACTTTTGCCCTATTATTTGCGCCTCATGTTCTTTCTCCTCAATTTTCCATTATTTTAAAAAAAGAAAAAAGGACGTGCATGTGAGTTCCTTGTTTTCTTGACCCAAGTCTTTGTTTGTTTGTTTGTTTTTTTTTTTTGGTCTTTTCTTTACTTATGTACCTTTCAAAACCATAATATAAAAAATTTTAAAAAACTTTACTTGATTTAAAATAGAGAATATTCGATAAATTTTATCTATTTTTTAAATTATATATACCCTTAATTTATTTTATATATATATATATATATATATTTCACCCAAGTAATTAATCAAGGTATTTTTGGATAAGTTAACTATTGTATTTACTCTACTCAAGGGCACAATATTTAGAAAGATGTAAAAAATTTTGGAAAATCAAGATTTTAACTAATTTTTTAAAAAATATAAATGAGTTAATAATGATTCACAGTATAGTCTAAATAAGAAGCACCTTATAATTTTCGTTTAATATAGCTGCACCTTTATCAAAAAGGAAAAAAAAAAAAGGAAAAAGCTAGATCAAACCAATTACATTATTTTTTTCAGCCTTTACATTTAAAAATAGGAAACAGTTTCAATGTTCTTCATACAGATGAGCAGCGAGAGCTCATCATCTTTGGATCATTTAAATTTACTCTAGATAGTCCAGATTTATAATTTTCCAATGCATAATTTTTTAAATAAAAAATTATTTTTTGAAAAATTGGCAGGCTAGAGATTGTTTTTTATTTTATATAAAATAATTGTTTTAAAAAAATAAAAAGTGAAAAGCTGTAAATTTAGATCATATAAATTAAACCTGAATGCTTCAGATGTGATGAACATTCAGTGATGTTCTATGTGATGAGTATGAAACTGATTCCCTTCAAAATGGTGCATGATCCCGCGAATTCAGTTAATGTAATAAACTATGAAGCGAGCCCACGAGGAAATATTTGGCGGATGAACCTTCAACTAAAACTTTGTCATTTATTTCGCTCTCTCTTTCTTTCCCTTATTTATAATTAGAGTTCTAGAAAAGCCATGAACGTGAATTTTTTGATTTCTTCAATATGCAGCATATAACAAGCATAATAAGTAGGAAAGAATAAAACGAATAAGAAAGGGAGGAAACTAAGCACTATTATAGAAATGAGATTTAATAACATGCATTTTGTAACAATAAAAATCAAAATGCCACAAATAGTAAATGCCATAATTTAAAAATTATTTTTCATTTACAATTTTAGTAAATACATAGAGGTGGTATTTTTTAAATGAAATGCCACAATTTTATATTAATCAACAATTAAGTGACATTTCAGTAATTAAACACCACATCTCTACTTTGTTATAAATTAATTATTTTATTTTATAAGATTATATAAATATTTTATCATAATTATATAATTGATATAAATAATCAATATATACAATTACTTAATAATTTAAAATCAAACATTGGAAGCGCCTCCTCTCTGATTCATTAATTAATCATTATTTAGTTAATAATTAAAAACAAAGAGGTGGTGTTTCTGCAAATTAAAAATGCCACCTCTCTTATCCTAAAAATTAAATAATTATATATATATATATATTTATTAGTAAGTAATTAAATAAATTATATATAATTTATACAATAAGTATTTTATTAATAAATATCTTTTTTTGATAATAATTAATAACTAAAACTAGTGGTTTAATTATTCAAAAATTTTATATATTAATTACTAATTATATAAATTTCTTATAATTTATTTAATTAACATTTATATTGGTATGCGACATTATTTTACACAGATGGCGTTTCCAATAATTGCAAATGCCACCACTTTGGTTTAATTACGTAAAAACCATATATATATATATATATCTATATATATATATATATTAAATTTTAAATAAATAAATAATTTATAATTAATTTAATGAAATATTGTTCTTATTATGTATTATTATTTAATAACTTATGACAGATAGGTGTCATTTCGTCTCTATGAAAACGTCACCTCTCTTATTCAATTATTTAAAAAAATTATATATATTAATAATTAACTAAATAAAATATTTAATAATTTATTAAATTACTACTGTTAAGCATATTTTTTAATAATTAAAATAAGATAGGTGGCATTGCCTTTATTTAATAATGAAAAAAAGATACATCTTTTGACAATAATATTTTTTAAAAAAATAAATAACAGAGGTGACATTTGTGAGTTAAGAAAATGTCATGTTTATTTATCAAAAATTGAGAGGTGCCATTTGTTTCAAGAGGACACGCCACCTCTCTAATTTTTTTTTAAGAAAAAGCTTAAAGAGATGGCATTTGAAAAACAATGCACTATCACTCTAATATCAGTTTTGTAATGTTTCATTAATTAATAAAATACTATCAAAGACTTATTATAGTACTGAATCTTATAATGTTTTATAAACGTCACCAAATTGAAGTTTTAAATACTACCAAAGCCTATTTCTAGAGTAGTGAAATGATCAAATTTAATACTTATTCAACACTAACCCAGCTTTATATGGGAATACATAGAGCCTGATTAAAATACAAGATAACAATAATAAAATTTAAAAAACAAAATAATAGAACAATCCTCATCAAGCTCCTCAACGAAACAAACATTCAATACATGACTAAGTTATATACCTGGAGAAACAGAAGCATATTGAAGAACATCACGCTCAAACAAGGCCATCTCATTTTCTTCCATGTTAACAAGAACTTCAATCCCGTCCCCATCTCTTGTATCTTTAAGAAACATGCAATTCCTATGAGGGCAACAAGTAGTGGTCACCCATGTCGGTTTTCCCCACCCAAAATCTGCTTCGTAAAGTGGAAATCTGCACCAGCTCATAATATCAACCACAACCGTATCGGTACTATCTGGGTCCCAACTAGTTGCTTGTTGCAAAATCTCCGAGATGAATGACTTGTCCTTTCTCCCAAATTGTTCAACATGGGTATCACAAAACTCCGTCAAAGAGTGCTTCAATTTGCAGACAACCTCATTCAATCCTTCTTCCATCGTAGCAGATACTATGTAACACCAGATCATGTTTCCTATGGTCTTTTCGGGTACTGGAGGGAGCATTCTCGTCCGAAGGTTCGCCCAAGAGCAAAGCCACGGGGGTTGGGTCGATGATTTGAAAGATGAACTTAAAGCTGAAACTGCAGATTTGTAAAGAACAGCACTCACAACTTGCACGCGTGTGGGATTTTTCACTTTCTGCGATATCATGGCCTTGAGAGATTGAATCTTCGAGGCATCGAGTATGAACCGTTTGCATCTCACAGTGTTGTCTCTCGCAAAATCCATTTCTGGGTAATTTGGTAAACCTTCAAGTGGGAATATTGATGCTCCATCAAATCGTGGGAGGATTACTCTTTCTTCTCCTTCCTTCTCTTCTCCACAAGATTCAAATTTTCTGGCAATGGTGGCCCAGTCTTTGACAAAGTTGAAGATCGTGCACCCATCGGCCACCTTGTGAGACATACACACACTGATTGCAATTCCTCCGCACACAAAATGGTTCACTTGAACGACCAACAAGGGATCATATGGATCCACTGTCTTCCAAGGCAATTCATGAGGGAATAAATTCTCGAGATGGTCTTCCTTTGGGTTTCGAAGCAAACCTAATAAGTCGTATTTGATACGAGTGACTAATAATGTTGCGCCCTCGTCGTTGCAGTCTATGGAAGCTCGATCTTTGATTCTGCCAGCAAGTGGGTAGTACATGGCAAGAACTTGAGATAAGGATTTCTTGACCACTTCATCAGATTTTTCTTCACGATCTTCAGTAGTACTGGTTGGCTCGTAAAAGTAAACCACTGGAATATAGTGACTAAAAAGGACATGATCAAAAAAGGAAAGTGGATAAATTCTGAGATGCGGAAGGGTAGGAGAAGAGGGTTTGATAGTTTCTCTTGATATTACTTCTATGTCCATATCTAGAAAGGTTTCAGGGGATTTACTGATTTACAAACGAGTGTTGGGGTGGATTGGGTGGCTCTTGTACATGGAAAAGAAAGAGTACGTGAGAGTTTTATCCAGCGTGCTGCCCGACGGCTTTAGTTGACAGTGATTTTGACTGTTCGTTTGGACCGGAAGGTTATGGGTCATGAGTGGTGGCTTTTTAACCTACCGAGCTAACCTTAGTCTTCTGGCGATGAAGGTCTCATCATGTGCGTATAGTGGGAGTCGGTTTACCCACCAATAAAGAGGTGTATGATAGGTTGATCCAGGTTTAATGTATTTTTTTTTATTTTCTATTTTTTTTAAAAAAATTGTATAAACTGTAAAAATTTTAATAAATTTTATTATCAATTTGGACAGTTCATATAAAATATAAATACTCTATATTTAATATTAAAAATTATAAAAAATTTAATATTAAACCTGTATTATTTAGAATATATCTGGATAGTCAATTTATGAAAATTTTTATATTAAATGTGAATAATATATATTAAATCTAGACTGTCTAAATTGATAAACAAATTTATTAAAAGGCTACAATTTATACAAATTTTTTATTTAAAAATATAAAATAAAATAATAAAACGTGCATTAACTTTGGACCATCCAAATTAAATTTGGACCATCCAAATTAAATTTGGACAGTCCAGATCATACACCCCCTGAGTGGAATTGCTAGGAGGCTTCCCTCAACTCTTGTACTATGCAGTTGGTCAAAGGGTGTTACACCCCAAATCATGGGAGTGATTGGCACATGATATGCACCAAAGACACATTCCTTAAGCTTAATTCAAAAAAAAATTTTTTCATTTTATTTTTAAAATAATTTTTACTTAGAATGAGGCCTTATTTATTATTTTTTTTCTATGAAAATTATGATAGAATCTCCTTTTTACACAAGATCTACTGAAATTCTACAACACAATTTTCAAGCAAATATCATAACTACTAGGAGCTTAGCTCCTTCCAATCAGGAGACAGAATACTATCAAGATGAGGACTCTAGTTATAGCATATGTGGAGCACCAAAAATTTAATTTATAAAATACAATTTTGTAATTCAAATTCACATCAAGATGAAGCTTAGTTTACCGCTCTTGCACTTCCCCATCAATGGTAAAACTCCTTAATAACAAGCAAAAAGTTCAGTGTCAACAACATGAATCTGAGACCAAAATATTTTTTCAATAAATAGCATCCCTAACAATTAGAACTTAAAAGAGTGAAAATAATAACTCATGTGATTATGTAAAATAATAAAAAAGATAATAATTCAATATATTAAACATAATAAATCTATAAATCATAATCATGGTCATAAAATAAGAGTGAACTGAAATTGTTTTATTCTATCATGTTTGAAAAAAAAATATTCTTATGTAAATCAAAATAATGCACTTATTAATTGAAACCATTGCAATTTTAAATATACAAGTTAATTAACAGTTTGAAATTTTGAGAACTTAACAGAATAAATAACAAACGTGAACACATAGTTCACGAGGGTATATAATTGAATACAGCTTGTGCCACGAATACAAACATGGACGCACAGTCTATGAGGGTAAATAACCAAACGTAGCTGAAGCCACAAAAATAAACATGGACACATAATCCATGAGAGTAAGTAACCATATGCAACCGAAGCTATGAAACAAATGTGGACACATAGTCCACGAAAGCAATGCTAACCAAACGCAGTTCAAAGCCACGAAAACAAACGCGAGTACGAGACCTATAAATAACAAACTTGATAACAAAACTCACGAAAATCAAACTAGCTAGTCATTGACCATGGCGCGCCAAGGGCTAACGAGACTACCGTTAGTAAACAATATTCTATATAAAGTCCTCTAAACATCACTTTTCAAACATGTGAGAAGAATCATTTTTGAAATACAATTTGCATTATCAATATCAAACTCGCATGAATCATTTCAAATCTCAAAGCTTGCTAGAATAATATTTCATAGCTAATGTACAAGCTTGTTTTAGTTGAGTAACTAAGAATTTCCATAGTAGAATAAACAAAGATGCCTTCATCAATCTTGAAAATATATTTCATAAAGAAGATACATGCACATACCACAATTTAATTAACTTTCAACACCATTTTATCATTTCCAAAACCAAAATGATTTAATTAACATAGTACATAATAATCATTATAGTTGTTAAAATAATTTATATGAAAATGTAATATTTTCAAAACCAGACTACTTTTATTAAAAAAAAATAATGGGGTGCTATTCACTTACCTGCTTAATTCCAAAAATTCAACAATTTTCTCTCTTTCCAAAGACCCTAAATCATTGTAAGAGTATAAATAAATTTCCAACAAAACCAATATCAAAATTTAACTATGAGAAACTTGAAATTTTTAAAATTAAGACTTTACACATAAGAATTCCTTAAAGCCACAACTCAGCATTCCACTAAAATACAATCTCCTAACAAACTTTTTGTCAAAATTCCAAAACTACATTACTTCCAATATTCCACAATAAGGCTTCTTTTCCTTCTTATGTTTATTTAACATTCACATCTGTTATCACATAGTTCATCAACAACCATTTATTTTCATGATCTCAAAATTGCCCGCACAAACATCATGCTCAAGTTTCCTTTGCAATCTTCATTGTAAGTTTATAGAGTAATATCACTCAAATTGAACATACTAATTGCAATGGCCAATGAAATTTAAAAAATATACAACCCAAGTAAAGTTTTCTCATCATTATGTCAAACACCTTCCAAACACTAATTCTTAAGCCCAAACCAACTTCTTACTCTTTGATTTCATTTCCTAAAGATTTCCAATATAAACATTTAAATCAAACAACCTCCCAAATCCCATGTCCTCCAACAAAAGTATCAATCTTAAATCCATAGGATTCAAATTGATTAAGTACCATCTTGGTCCAACATTAAAATTTCATCTTGGATCAACTTCTCATCTTTATTCAAAAATTCACAATAGTAGAAAAATTGAAGCTTCATCATTTCAGTCCTAAGATACGCACACACACAGAAATGATGAGAGAAAAGTAGACTCAAAATCTCTTTACCTCTGTTAACACTAGCAGACATAGGGAGGAAGGGACGAAGGCAGATATAGGGGAAAAATGATAACCATCAAAACAAACCTCCTACAACCACTTGAATGAGGGGCTTCGTAAACAAGGAGAAAATTTTAAACTACCCTAAACCAAATCAAAGATAGGAAGCATGAAAAGAGGAGGGGAAAAAACAGTGGCACACAAAAATAGCTAACCATAAGGACTAGAGAAAGAAAAGCTCACTGTGGGACTTCGCATTAGCAGCGGATGAAGTTGTCGCACCTATCAACAGTGATGATCTGGGCAACTAGTGAGGTTGATTGATCTGTGATGCAAAACAGGGGAGATAATGAAGAACTCCAATGTTCCCAAGCAGTAGAATAACAGAGGAAGGAGAGGAAGGCTCCTTGTTCACGATAGCCGGCGTCAACCTGTGGGGAGAATTGAGGAGGTAGATCGGAGGAGCTAAGGATGTGCTAGCTGGTTTTGGAGCTTTCAAAGAAAATGAAAAATAGGAATGGAAGAAACCGACTGTGCTTTTTATCTCTGTCTCTCTAATCTGGTTTGTTTTTATTTTTGTTTTACTGAGGGGAAAACTTGTAATTTACCCAAACACTGGAGTAAAATTAAATAAAACCTCTCTCTTGCACAAGACAGATTCGAACTGGGGACCTGAATAATTAATTGACAGCTTAACCACCACTAGACCAACAATCCTTCTTATCTAAATATTTCTAGAGTTAATACAAATACAATTAAAATACATTATTATATATTTTAAATTTTACTTAAAATTCCTAGGTATTACAAAGGGATTAGGTATGGAATCTCTGATGAGTTAAGGGTCATTTTTATTCATGAAATGTACATAAAATGTCACAAATGCCCTTAAACTCAACTATGAGTCAATTATATCTTTCAACTTTAAAGATTTCCTCTATCATCACTCTGACATTAAAAATACTTAATGTCAATTAGTTGTTAGTGGGTTTCACTATTTTGTTTTTAATATTCGTTATCAAGTTTAGGGTCATTTTTGCCTCTTTAACTTTTATTTGAAGAGTCATTTTTGCTCCTCAATTCAAATATTTTAAAATAAAAAATATTAAAAATATAATATGGGGCTCACTAATGGTGAACTAATGATGATAAAACAGCAGGGCACTCCTTCCTTGCGTTTTCTAACTGGGAGTGGCGTGTTTTGTAATTTGTATTACCCTAGTTCTCAATTTTCCTGTCTCCATTTTTCATCACCTTCATGCCAGTGTTCTTCTTGCTCCCCATGTTCTTCGCCACGTTGAATATCCTCTTCGTCTATGTTCCCATTTGCTTTACCGGTGTCCCGTATAAAATTCACATTGGCCCTAGATTCTCAAGTTTGCGTTGCAGAGACCAGTAGAGCACCAAGCATCTCAACCTCCCTCTTCTGCAATAAGTCAGTCCCTTCGTCGATCTCAGCCATGGGCTTAACATCCATCTTTTGTTCTTTGTTTTTCATCCCCCATTTTACTTCCCCCCTCCCAGCGACTCTTGTCGAACACCCACAACTTTTGCAGTGACGATCTTGTGGTCGCTCACCTTTTCCAACGAGACCCGCAAATTTCTTAGGCCATACTTCAATTTTAATTCAATGATCATGGATAAGGAAAATAATGAATATAGAAATGGGAGAAACCACGGTCGAGAATGCATTGTGGCAGTCGATTGAAGCGGCATAGTTATGATTCCAACAACAGTGAGCGCAATCACTTTGAAGATTATACTGGTTTAAAAAAGTCAAAGGCTTTTTGAACCTTTAGAGGAATTCCACATTGATCAAAGGTTGGAATCGTGTTATCAGGTTATGATGTAATTCTTGGGAGGAAGCTTAAAGCAATAAAAGGTATATTGCTCTGTCAAATATTATATACAATTTCTCTATATATGAAAATGATAAAATTTTTGAATACTATAATTTATATGATTTTTTGTTAGTTTTTTCAGAATCTGATCTTTCTCAACTTGCCTTATTTTATTGTCTTGTAGAAGCTTGGCTAATGAATTTTGAATATGCAAATTGGGAGGGATTGGGAGACTAGGAAGGTACGTTATTGCTCCACGTTTCTTGTCCCTGTTCATGTTTTTTATCTTTATTTATTAATTATCAATTTTATGTTTATCATAATTTATATTTATTTCAAGCTGACATCTTTGATCCAAAGGTGCCATATGATCATCATTTTGAGAACGCTATGTTT